TAAGGGTAGGTGGGTATCCCAAGACTTTCCAAAGTCTATCACGCACGCACGGATCATATCTTCGAGCGTTTGGATGGTTCGCTCACTTTGACCATCCGTTTGTGGGGTGATATGCAGTGCTCATATCGAGGTTTGTTCCCATCGCCTTATGGAGTGATTGCCAAAATCGTGATGTGAACCTACTGTCCCTATCCGAGATGATAGATGTTGGTATTCCGTGGAGCCTCACGATCTCTCGAATGTATTAACCGCGTCAATCTCTCCATCTTGTACGATTCTTTAATTGGCAGGAAATGGGCAGATTTCGTCAGTCGGTCAATTATTACCCATATGGTATCTAATCCATCCGACGTTTTGGGTAGCTTGGTCACGAAATCCATAGAAATCCCTTCCCATTTCCACTCGGGAATTGTCGGTTGCTATAACAATCCTGAGGGTTTTTGGTATTCCACTTTTACCTTGGCGCACGTAAGGCACTTACTGACATAGGTCGCGATTTCCGCCTTCATGTTAGGCCACCAATAGTGTTGTTTAATATCCAAATACATCTTATCAGAACCGGGATGAATGGAGTATCGCGTCTTGTGGGCTTCCTTCATGACAACATCTCTAAACCCTCCAAATTTAGGGACCCAAATACGGTTCATGAAATAGTATACTCCATTCTCCTTTGCCTCCAGGTTCTTTTCCATTCCGCGCAATACTTCGCTTGCTCTATTTTCCGTCTTCATGGCCTCTGACTGGGCTACTGCAAGTTGAGTGGCCAGGTGTGACTGAATGGTTATCGAGAGAGTTTTTGTACAACGATTAGAGCACTCCTTCCGACTTAATGCGTCAGCTACCACGTTGGCCTTGCCTGGGTGGTACTTAATCTCGCACTCATAATCGTTTAGCAACTCAACCCATCTTCATTGCCTCATGTTTAACTCCTTTTGGTTTAAGATGTGTTGGAGACTCTTGTGATCCATGAAGACGGTGCACTTTGTACCGTAAAGGTAATGCCTCCAAATTTTTAGGGCAAAGACTACAGCTCCCAACTCTAGGTCATGGGTCGTGTAGTTTACTTCATGCGTCTTTAGCTGGCGGGATGCATAGGCTATCACTCTCCCACGTTGCATGAGAACGCAACCTAAACCCTGATTTGATGCGTCGCAGTAGACTACAAAGTCTTCCGTTCCTTCAGGCAGAGATAGTACAGGTGCGCTACAGAGAGCTTGCTTCAAGGTTCGAAATGCGATTTCTTGTTTGTCTGTCCATTTGAATGGTACGCCCTTTTGCGTAAGCGAGGTAAGTGGCTTGGCGATCTTAGAGAAGTTTTGAATGAACCTCCTATAGTAGCCTGCTAATCCCAAGAATTGACGAATTTCCGTGGGCGTTGTCGTGATTGCCCAACCTTCTACAACTTTGACCTTAGAGGGATCCACATGGATTCCATCTTGGCTGACCACATGACCTAGGAAGTTCACGCTCCGCAGCCAGAACTTACACTTGGAGAGTTTGGCGTAAAGTTTTTTTGATCGTAGAGTTTCTAAGACTTGTCGGAGATGTTGGCCATGCTCTTCCTTGCTTCGAGAATAGACGAGGATGTCATCGATAAAAACAATGACAAAGTTGTCAAGAAACGGTCGGCAGATTCGATTCATTAGGTCCATAAATGCAGCAGGGGCATTCGTTAGACCGAAGGGCATTACGACAAATTCATAATGTCCGTAGCGAGTTCGGAAAGCGGTTTTTGGAATATCCTCTTCCCGGACTTTGAGTTGGTGGTATCCGGACCGTAGATCTATTTTAGAAAAATAACTAGCCCCTTGGAGCTGGTCAAATAGGTCATCGATTCGTGGAGTGGGTAGCGGTTCTTGATTGTGAGTTGTGTTTAACTCTCTGTAATCGATACACATTCTAAAAGATCCGTCTTTCTTTTTGACAAAGAGCACCGGAGCTCCCCATGGCGAGTAACTAGGTCGAATAAATCCCTTATCCAAAAGTTCGCTGAGTTGGCTGGATAATTCCTGCATCTCGGCAGGAGCCAACCGATAGGGTGATTTAGCAAGAGGAGTTGCTCCTGGGATAAGGTCGATTCGAAATTCAACCTGTCTCTCTGGGGGCACTCCCGGAAGATCTTCAGGAAACACATCCGGAAATTCACATACTACGGGAATGTCTCGAACGTTAATCTCCTCCTTGGTTTTGTCCACCACGTGAGCCAGGAACGCCAGATTGTTCCTTCGTAGATATTTTTGTGCCTTGACACACGAAACGAGGCGAAGGTTCATGCTAGATTTGTCTCCGTAAATTACTAGGGTTTCGTGATTTGGAAGGCGAAGACGGACGGCCTTCTCATGACACATAATTTCGGCATGGTGGGGGCTTAACCAGTCCATGCCGATGATCACGTCGAAGCTCCTAATTGACACTGGCATTAGGTCTATTCGAAAAACGTGTTGATTAAGAGTTAGGGTACATCCGGTGTAGATTTCCCCAGTGGACTCGGTTTTCCCATTGGCCATTTCCACCGTATAGGCTTCATTTAGCTTTTGGGGAGTTGTTTTAATAAGTGCTTAAACTTATTGCTTACGAAACTTCGTTCCGCTCCGGTGTCAAATAAGATGCATGCATAAGCGTGGTTTAAGAGAAACGTACCGGTAACAACAGAGGGGTCTTGAATAGCCTCACTCTGACCCATGGTCAACATCCTTCCTGTTCCTCCATTTCTTAAATTGTTGTTGTTGGGACAGTCTCGGCGGATGTGTCCAGTCTTCCCGCATCCGTAGCAGGTGTAGCTAGGCCCTGCGCTGTTGCCGCTGGCATGGGCGTTGTTGTTGTTGCGAGGGTTGTTGTTGTTGATTCCCTGATTTTGGTTATGGGGAGGGTAAGCCTTGCAGTACTTTGCGGTGTGACCCCTTCGGTTGCAACTGGTGCACTGAAAATCCTTGCATTCTCCATAGTGATGGAAACCGCACTTGTTGCATTTGGGAAGATTACCGGAATAAGGTTTGGAAGCATTTGAAGTGGCTGAGGTTGGAGCATGTGGTGCGGCTGGAACCGATGTGGTAACGGCATTAACCGCCACTGTCTGCTGCTTCTTGGAGGTGTCGGGGCCCTGGCGCCCCTTCCTCTTATTGTTCTTTCCCCTCTTGCCATCTCCTTCCTTCGTCTTCTCAGCCTCCACTGGCTTCTCTCCCTTTTGTTGTTATGGTCATACAGCCTTTTTGCCAATCTTTCGCGCTGTCAAATGTTTCGGGGTTTGCAGCTATCACATTCCCTTGAATTGGTGATGTTTAGTCCCCAGATGAATCGCTCAATCTCTTTCCTTCCGAGGTAATCATACTCGGGCACAG